ATCGAGATCCATTAACTAAAAATACCTATACTTTAATGATTTCTTATGAAATTTGCAGCCAAAGCTGGAATCCAGAAAGAATTCTGACATGAATTAAAATCTTCAAATCCCATCATGTATGTTGAATTACTCCTTTTTTTTTTTATTCAACAAGCCTCATGTCTCCCATCCTGTTAGACCTTGGTAGTTTAAGCCCATATCTCTCTCCTGAGTTACTGAGTAATAGAAGGTATGGCAAGCACAGTAGCTAAGGAAAGAGGAAGTGATAGGTGGAGAGACAGTCACAGTGAGAAAGCCAGCAAAAATGAGCAGCCTGCAATATTTCAAGGAATAAGTTTACAATTGTATTTTTCTGAAGCAACATTGTGGGATGAGTACACATAGCTGCTACTGATTTTGATTCTGAGAACGAAACTCCCTCTCACAATCAACATTTCCTCACCTATAACTTTATATCATTTGCCAAGAACAAGCTATTTTACAGCTTCTTGATGCTTTTCTTAATGCGTTCTGCGGCCTGGAAATTCTACTCTGTACACATTTATTTCAGAAATCCCTAGTTCAAAGGTTACCCCTGCTATAAAGGCTTCCAACACTCTCTCCAAGCAGAGGCAACATTTCTCCCTTGTGTTCCACAATTGATTGCATTTTGTTTTCACCTTACTGTATTCTTACTAAACCCTCATTATACTCCTATCTAAACAACATGTACTGTCTTAGTCTGTTTGAGTCCCTGTAATAAAATGCTATAAACTAGGTATCTTATAAACAATAGAAATTTATTTCATATAGTTCCAAAGGCTAGGGAGTCCAAGATCAAGACATTGGCAGGTTCCATGTCCAGTGACAGTTTGCTTTTTCATAGACGGAGCCTTTTAAATATGTATTCTCATTGTGGAAGGCACAAGGGAAGTCTCTTTTATAAAAACACTAATCTCATTCATGAGGTTTCTCCCATGTGATCTAATCATCTCTTAAAGGCCACCACCTCCTAATAATATCACCTTGGGGCTAGGGTTTCAACATGTGAATTTTAGGGTGACACAAACATTTGAATCATAGCATGTACAACATCTACTTAAATGTGTATCAGTATCACTGCACTTTAGCCTTCTCAGGAACAAACATTGTGTCTTTCAAATCTGTATTCCAGATATTTTTTTGATTGTTGGCTACTAGAATAGACAATGCCTCTATCCCACCCACCAGGATGACAATTCTAGGGAGAAACTGAATAAGCATTTGACAGACCTTGAAAACATATAATTTTATGAAGGGCAGGAAGTGAATGCAGTATTTCTGTAAGAGTTTGCATACTTGTAACATTCATGAACCCTGAGCTTTTAATCAGTTTCTTAGGGCTCAGAAAACATAGGTGGTATTAGAGCTCAGAAAACTAACAAGTGAGTTTCATAAAAGATAACAAAAGGCTTGGCTCTTTTATTGAGGATCCATTCATTGACAACATGTAGACATAGTTTTTGGGGCTCCTCCATTTCTCTAGAGAGAATGCCTCCATCTTTACCAGGGATTTAGCTCCCGACCACCTATCCATGTTCTGGATACAAGGTAAAAGAGGATGTCCAAGAAGCCTGAAGTTAAGCATTCAGAACATGGAAGAAACAGAGGCAGTCCGAGAAATAAAGATCGAAAACCAAAATAATACTACCAAGAGCAATCTCAAATTGATAAGAAATTGTCCGGAGGACAAGAGTTCTATGAAAAAGAAAATTTAAAATTTAAAATTTAAAATACAATATCCAAGATAGATTCAGTAAAAGGGTTAGGAGATAAAATTAAGGCTATCTCTTAAAATTATAGCAAAAAAAAAAGTAGAAGAGGGGTTCAGAAGGGGTACAACCAGAAAAATGACATCATGAGAAAAACTTGATGAAAGAGTCATGCTGAAAGATGTGGGCAGCCTCTAGATAGAAAAAAAAACAGATAGAAAGAAGATAGAAAAAAACAGAAAGTCAGTTCTCTTCTAGAGCCTCCAGAAAGAAATGCAGCCCTACCAACACCTTGATATGAGCCTAGTGAGATACATTTTAGACTTCTGATCCTAGAACTATAAGATTATAAAGTTAGGTTGTTTTAAGCTCCTAAGTTTGTAGTAATTTATTACAGCAGCCATAGAAAAACAAAAAGGATCATATTGCACTTGTCACTTATTATCTTCAGTGGTGGTTTCAGGACATTTACTCTAGTCCTGTGCCCTTCATTCTTAATCCTTGATCCCCAGGAGTTTATCCTTCCCATAGTCTCTGTTCTGCACCCAGCCATCTCTGCTCACTGCAGTCCTAACTCCTTGTTGGCTCCTGATTCTCTAGATGCCAGAGTGTCATAGAGTTATCCCAGACACAGGCTGTCCTAAAGGTGGGAGTTGTCCCGCCCTTAGCCCCTAATAAAGACAGCATTGACAAGAACACTAACAGTCCGCACTGACCCCCAAGAGCTTCTTTGGTATTATTATACAGACAAAGAGGACCTGTACTATGTCTCCCTCCCACTCTGCCCCCTTGGGGCTCAATGCACTTCTGTGACTTTTTAACACATGAATCTTAATTATCTTGATTCAATTCTTTATGCACAGTTTTTAAACAATAACAATAAACAACAAAAATGCTGTCAATTAGCCAGCCTCATCTCTGGCTAAATCCTTGATGTCAGTCACAAAGACTACACCACTGGCGTTCAGTTCCCACCAATGCACAAATAATTATTGAGTAAGGATCCTTTCTTTCAGAGTTGCAAAGGATTGTAAAGACTGCTGAAAACTGCGATCTTCAGCGAGATACTTAAGGGGAAAAGTGTAAGTGGATTTATCAAGAAGTACATGATGACTAAGGGATCCCAGACTGGGCTCCTGAGTGCCCAGAGCCATTAGTAATGGGGGAGACAACACGAGTGATAGGAGAGATCTGGAAGAGATGGGGAATCTGTGGGCAAGGTCAAGTTCACCTGAGTTCAGAATCTAAGTCATATAACAAAGTCCCTGGATCAATACCAATTTGCCCCAATTACCCATTTTCCTCTAACCTAAGACTAAAATCAAATTATGCTCAGATCAGCATGAAAGGAGGCTTGGTGGGAGTTTAATGTCCATAACCTCTATCTGATCTCTTTTACGGAGCACTGGGAGGTGGCCTGTAAATGTAAAACAAAACTTGCAACAAGGATTTTGCATCAGGCTGGCAAAACCTCATTTTAGGAGACAACCATACTGTCGGGGATAAAGAACAGATTCTCCTGTCTCCAGTGATCCTCCAAGGTTGTTTTTATTATAATGGAAATTTCCAAGGCTTTATGCAGAGCTCACATGTGGATGAAAGAGCTGCTGCACCAGCAGAGATATAATTGTCTTCTGCTGTTCCTGAAGTCAGCACATGGCTGTTCATTAATTGACGTTGCACCCCATGAGCATAGCATTTCCAAACTGTGGGTTACTAAATAAGACCTCAGTGAACACAGTACTGCTGCTCCTTTCTGGTATGTACTTCCAATTATAATTTTATTCATTTTTCATTTGGCATATCCATAGTGAGCTTCTAGTGCAATAAGCTGCATTATTAGATGCTGTGGCATACATATAGATAAATAAGATAGAGTCTATGCCTCAAGGTACTGGAAGCTGGCAGCTAGGGTGACCTCTAGAGGAATGTAATGTGTGCAGTCACCATCATGGAGTTAAGAATACAAACTCCAAATTACTTTGCTTCACTCTAAGCCTTATATTTTTACTATCAACAGAAGTTTTTCCTTAATAATTTTAGTTGCAAAATAGAAGATTCAAATAATGTACAAACAAAATCGTTAGCCTCTGTTGGATACTGTGGTTGCTGGTTAATCCTCATAATAACCTTATGAGGGAAATTACATTACCTCCCAGTTGTATGTAACCTGCATTTCCCAAATGACCGTCACCAGTGAGTTGAAATAATTGATTGACTATCACTTATATTCTACTTGTTATTGCCTTCTCTCACCACCAGTAAAGGACCTACCAGCATTTCTATTCAAACAAGCCATTGTTCATGCAAAATGACTTAAGGCTGTTCACTCCAGCTGGGCTCACTTCACTGGCCCAACAAAGCCTGTGCTACAGTTAGGATCCCTTCTCTGCTAACATGAGGAAACTCGGGTTTTGTGAATTGGTGAGTTGCTCAAGGGTGCACACTTAGATCATCAATTTATACTTCAGACTTCAAGGGTACTACCTTCCCTCTGTAATTCAAACTGATTAACTTCTCATCTAAATACAAAATCATCACATTTTATCCCACTTGTTTATATTACTTCATATTACTTCTTACTTTCATAATCACACAGATTAGTTTCCTTTGGCAAATAAACTAGAATTGTGGCAATTAAGTGAGAAGGTTAGGGCAGAAGGGTTGTGGTCTGAAAGTTTTCACAAGACAAAAGGGCAGTGGCTCCTGAGGACGGGGAGCTCAGGGACTCATTGTAAAGGCCCAAGGTTGGGTCAGCTGGAAGACCAGCCCTCATTGTCTGTCTGGGCAGAGCACAGTTTAGTCAACATTATGTACTTAAGGCTAGTAAATACACCATAGACTCCATTAGCTAAGCAGCAATCTATATAGATATTAACCAGTTGCTCACTCTATGCCAAGCACATATGCCATTGTTTGGTGACTTTCACCTATTCATACAATCTTCTCAACAAGTCTGTAAGGTACTTCGGGACAAAGAAAGTCTCCTGCATCTTGTGCTCCCTTACCACTATTAGCTTAATAGATTCTGTTGTTTCAAATTCTAAAAGGAAGGAAATTAAACAATTCTTAACCAAATGATCTTTCTCTTTGCATTTTGGGATGCAAATCCTATGTATCTTATTCCATTGAATAACTCTGTGGTTAGTCATTGATATGGCAGGTTCAGGCTTTTGCTCTTCCTCTTTGAACATCAGTGGGTGCATTTTATTTCTCTCCCTCCCTGTCTCTTTTTAATTTTTTTTTATTTTTAAAATTTTTTAAGCAGGATTAAGAAAGCCAAACCCTCAGCCTCATGTGGAAAGAGCTCATTTATTGAAACTAAAATATCTCTTCTTGGAAGGCCATGACCTCAGAAAGGTGAGCACTTTACTTTTTCTAAGGTAGTGAATATTTCATCTCTCTTACTTCGGACAAGTATTGAACCATACATTATTCCTGCTTGATCCCCTAGTTTGTTCACTCCTGGCTCCTTGTACCTCTCTCATTTTCAAGTGAGAGCTTCAAATTGCACAGGAATTCCAACTGCCCCATTCCTTTTACTCTTGACATTTCTATGAGCTTCAAGTACTCCATGAGAATTCTGTTTCTGTGTGTTTACCAACTGAATTGGCATGGACAGAAGGGTGCATACCCCACACCATTTGCAGGAGCTATTTCTTATGATCGGTAATTTTAAAGCAATGCACCTCCTTGGGCTCTTAAATATGTCATCCCAGGAGCTTCTGCTCCTTTTGTCCCATCTCCTTCATTATCCATGTGTCAGACATGCCTCAGGCCTGCTGGACGTCTGCTCTTTATCAGTGGGCCCCTCTCCGCCCCCAGCCCCCTGGGAAAGCCCTCTGAGGAGTGAATTATTGGAAACACAAGCATCCACAGAAAATACAATGCAAATCTTTTAGTTCCCAGCTTGGCAGAAACAGGTAGTGAACTAACTGAAGGTTTACTCACTGAAGGCTCGTTCATAGCCAAAAATAAAAACAAAAAATAAGTAATTTCCCTGCATCTATGGTTACTAAAGTGCTCTGGGAGCTTCAAAAGGTAATGTTTGTATGTTTTATTTGATCTTTTTTTGAGAAATAACTAGGGACCACATATTTTCTATAATTCTAGTGATATTTTGATGAATAAAATAACTGCAAGGCAAGGCCACAGACTTACTGGGGGAGACAAATATGTAAGAAGACAATTATAGCAAGTGTGAATACTGCCATAAAAATGTTGTTTACCAATAGGAGTGCAGAGGTGGGTGCCTTAGCACAGCCTATAATGGAGTGTGGAAAGGAGAAACCAAGAAATTCTCTGGAAAGAAATGGCATCAAAATTGAGGCTTAAAGATCTAATAGTTGCTATCTTTTTAAAAAGGAAGATATTGGTAGAAAAGAGAAAAAATTTCTTTATTTCTGTTGTCCTTTAACTGGTATTTATTATTAGCGTGCCCTGGGAAATCTGTAACTACTGCTTCTTCAGAATTCATTACACCTGGTGAGTCCCATGGGCCAAGACCCCCATATAATTTCTATGCCTTTGCTTAATTAAGACACTGTGATAGACTGGGCAGACATTTCCTGGCAATTTATGATCAGCTGGAGGAGCTTAAGTCTTAAAGCAAAGCTGTGAAAATATGCAGTTATGTTTATATAAAAAGTAGTGAAATAATAACCTTTTCATGTCTTGATCAGCCAAAAGTTGAAAAGGTACATTGTTGTGGTTGACAGGCTGCATTTATAGTTTTTGTTATTTTCCTAATCACTAAAAGTTATTCACAAATAAACAGGAAGAGAGAGACACATACTCCGAGTTTGATACTTGCTCTTTTTCATTAGGTATTTGGATTCCAGGTCAATGTGAAGAACTTCCCTAAGACACATTGCTGGCTAACACTGGGATTAGTTACTCAAAGAGCTTTGTAGTGTGACCATCATTAAGACTTTTACGGATGTCTTTATTTAATCAGCTAGGTTTAGCAGAGTTCAGCCTATAGACTGTGGAATGGATAGAATGAGCCCAATGTTTGTCTTATAAAGTGTTTTGAATTTCTCAGTTCTAAGTATAACACTTCGATCTTTCACATATATCACCATGTAGTACAGTGTTATTCACCTATCCAAGTTCGTAGAAGATTCCAGGCTCTGCACCAGGTATTTTGCATCTATAACAGAGATAAAGTTTTAGAAGTATTTTCTCACTAAGTTTTCTTATGGTTGGACTGATTTCTTTCCTTGCACCCTGTTAGGGTCTGACTGTTTCTGCCTCCTAAGAATTTTTTATGTTGAAATTTTAACTCCTAAGGTGATGGTATCAGAAGGTGAAGACTTAGGGAGCTGATTAGGTCATGGGTGCAGATCCACATGAATGGGATTAGTGCCCTTATAAGTCACTCAAGAGAAAGCCCTCACCTCTTCTGCCATGTGAGGACACAGTGAGAAGGCACCAACTATGAACCAGAAAACAGGCCCTCAGCAGACATGGAATTTGCTGGTGCCTTCATCTTGGACTTCCCAGACTTCAGAACGGTGAGAAATAAATTTTTGTTTTTTATAAGCTACCCATTCTATGGTATTTTGTTCTAGTAGCTGGAATAAACTAAGATATAGCCAATTTCATCATTTGGGCTGAACTTTGAGACTGAAATCTTAAAAGAAATGAGGAGAAAATGATATAGGACAGTTGCATTCAGACAGGAAGGGAAACTAACAGAAAAGCTTACCCCTTCCCATCCTGTCAGATAATGGAGGCAGAAAAAAAAAAAAAGTAGAACAAAAAGGTTCTTATTCCCGCTGTCCCACATAAGAATCATACATCAAATGCAAAAATGTCTTTTACAAACATAGAAGTAAGTATGGAGCGATACACAAATATCAGAGGAGTAGATTATTTTCCAAGGCAGAGCCTGCAGGCACCTAGAACAACTTGTGCCTTCAGCCAGGTGCCAGATCCATTCTGGCTCCAGAGCAATTCTGTGGGAAGACTGCAGAATGGGTTCAGGTGATGAGTCCACAATGAAGCTCTGGCTCTCCGTTGTCTGCAGTTGTTATGACAGGGATTTAAGATTTCCCAAATGCTCCAGAAGGGGTGTGGAAATGTCGAGAAAGGAGTAGGCAACCTGTCAGAGGCCTGGAGTCAGAGTGGACAGGATAAAGTGAGGATGGACTTGAATACACACAAATGTCTGAAACCTTGGATTCCAGGAAGCCAAAGCTTCACTCCAAAAGGATAGGCAGAGCCAGGCAGAGCTCAGCAGTCCTCAGACAAGGAGACGTCAACCGGTCTGTCCACAGCTGGGCATAGAGGGCATCTGAGAACACCGCTTAATCTGATTTTTTTTCTCTCCACTATCACAAGGACAGAGCAAACCCCTCATACACCTTGGTGTCATTCCAGGGAAGTTCAGGGGTAGGAGAGAGAATCTGAAAGTCTGAAAAGCATCTGAAACAGATTCTGTTAACTAAATGACATGTCAATTACTAGATCAAACCAAGATCACACGACTGCCTCCACTATCAATGGGGGTGCAAGTTTACAAAGACTAGTCTACATATAGAACTCTAAAAGGCCCCTGTTTCTCCCGCATTTGACTTTAACATGAGTACATTTGCAGCTCCACTGCACGTGTGTCATTTCATTGAATTCCCAGATCAAACCTGCAAGATAAGTATTCCTATTACTCCAATGAAAAAACCAGATCCAAAGAGGTCATATACTTTACTCCCAGGTTTACAGCTGGACATGTAATGTGAAATTAGTTTCACATTTGCATATAGATCAGTCTGAATCTAAATATCATGTTCTTCCCATGATGACTTATGAGTTTCTTTGTTTCTTGAATGTGGAAACATATGACGCTTTGTGTATGAAGGAAGATAAATGTAATCGATGCTGGGTATGCAATGTGCCTTTTGTCTTCAGGGACTCTTATTGGGACCTGTAAGGAGACAAAAAGGAAGGACAAAGGATTTTCATCTAGTAGGTCTAAATGTCACTGTGGCATAACAGAGAGATGGGTGCAGAGCCTCTAGAAGCAACAGGGTTAATGTTAGAGCTGAACGTTACATCTTTGGAGCTGTTTGTTGGAGAAATGAAGAAACAAAAATAATGATTCTTCAGGAGATAGCAAGTGGCATGTGGTGTTGGTTTAATTAGGAGAGGTGAGAGCAGAGCTGAACTATTCAATGAAACAGACATTTATTTAGCTCTTAATATATACATGACACAATGAGAGAATACAGTGATACCTAAACCACAACAGGGTACAATAGGATGTAATATTACACAAGATGGTGCACTGAAACTGATTTTTTTCTTCTTGTTTTCAAAGCAGCTTCTTTCTTGCTCTAATCTTTGTCAGACTAAAAGCAAAATCTGTACCTGTGTGGAGGAGATATGGTGCAGAGCTCTCAGGAAGGGCTGAGCCAGTTAATAAATTTGCAGCCCCTTTTCACCTTGTCACCATCTCGCTCTCTACGGCAGTATCTGTGGCCTCTATCACACATTTTGCTTCTCTTATTTTCTTTTTACTCTTATCCAGTTCAGCTTTGTTTGTCGGCTCTTATGCAACCTACACAAGTGGAATTCTCCTTGGACTCTTTCGTCTCGAACATAAATTGAAAAACCACAACTTTGGCAATGGCCTGTTGGACACATTTCAGTGCACTCATATCTCAACCAACTGAGTCAAAGGGGCCAACTTGTTTTTACTAACAACCTAAAGACAAAGGCTTTTCAGGGCTATGAGAAAAGCTTACTTTGAAAGTGCAGTAAAGGGGATTTTAAAGAAGAAAACAAATGGCAATTGAATTTTACTGTTTCCAGGAAACAAAAAATTAGAGTTTGTAGACTCTTAAACTCAGAATGCTGGAAAAATAATTGGGCCTTTATTTGTTCCCTTTAGAGAAGAGAGAGAAAAAAAAATCCCTTAATTCTCCTGAGAGAATTAACTGCAGATGGAGAGTAGGTTCTTAGGAATTTCTCATAAAGGAATCAATGGCACATCCTGCCCACCCTGTCCCCAAACTAGATTAGCTGCTTCCTGGCCAGGAGCCCACAATTATGCCGTGACGTCAGTGACACTGGCAGCTCCCCTACATACCTGACCCAACCAATAGCTCATGCTGAGAATGGTGCCTGAGAGGCCCCAGTGAACTGGCAGGGTGGCATGGGGATTTCTCGCTAGAGAAAGAAACCTTCCAAACCATGACTTTGCAGTGTGCCCAAGGTTTACATGGGATTTTCTGGAAAGATAGTGGCGGGGGTGAGAGGCATGTATCTGTGCTTTGCCATTGCCTTTTCCTAGGGCCTTAGCTCTCTTGCTCTTCATTTTTACCATGACAGAAAATATGGAGCAATCAAAGGAACTCTTTTCTTGTATGTGCAGAGATATCATGCACAAATCTGGTAACTCTGAATGTGCAGCGGGAGGGCTCATGCGTTCAAGGTGGAAAACGCCCCTCATGACTCCTGTACCTTCATCCTCAAACTGACACATGTTGGCTCTTCCCTCATCCTCTAGAGCTAAAACATAAACCAAAAGTGGCCCTACACTCCTTCATAGGAACACATTGCCATGAACTTTCGAGTCACATAGCCCTGTAGGCAAACAGGTAAGAAAATCTTGGGGGAAGAACTTGAAAGTAGCATGAACTAGAGAACACTCTGGAAGAGTTAAGAAAAGGTGCACTTTTTTCCCCCTTATGTCTAGGAGGTCCAAGGACTGTGAGGAAGATTCAATAGGACTATTCAATAGCTAGTTATTCACAAAATTTATTTCCTTCCACACTGTAGATAGCGTTTCCCAGTCTCCCTTGCAGTTAGGTGGCATACAACTGCATTCAGCCAGTGGGAAGTGGGCAGAAGTGATTACTCACCTTGGCCACTTACCCTCCTGTGTACAATTCTTTCTCTTCACTTGCTGCTGATTATTGACACTCAGGGAGATCCCAGAAGCTCCATGCTGAAAATGGCGGATCCTCTTTCAGCCTGGATCTCTGAAAGACTCTCTAAACCCTTCTCTCCTTTTCTCCTTATAAGTAGAAGAAAGGCCAGAGCATGCTGTCTCTCCCCCTGCCTAGCATTGAGAGCACAGAGGAAAGAAGATGTGAGAGCATGGTGAGAAGGAGGCCAGTCCTTGCTACACAACAACCCTGACAGCATCTTAATCTTGGCTTTCTAGCCTCCAGAACTGTGGTTTTAAAATGTGTTGTTTAAGTCAAACAGTCTATGGTTATTTTGTGATGGCAGCCTGAGCAGACTAATACAACCATAGATCCTACTCTCGCCCCAATCCTTGTTGCAGATTGAATTTCACATGATGAAAAATAAATGTCTTTTTTTTTGTTAAGCCATTGAGATGTCAGGCTTTATCTCTTACAACAGTTAGTGTTTACATTTCTGATACAAAGACCGTGCAGAGCAAATCAAGTGTGTGATATCCCTTTTCTCAAAATGTACAGGCTGGATTTTTTTTTTTTCTTTGAAATGGAGCCTTGCTCTGTTGCCCAGGCTGGAGTGTAATGGCGCTATCTGGGCTCACTGCAAGCTCCACCTCCCAGGTTCACATCATTCTCCTGCCTCAGCCTCCTGAGTAGCTGGGACTACAGGCACCCGCTACCACACCAGGCTAATTCTTTGTATTTTTAGTAGAGATGGGGTTTCACCTTGTTAGCCAGGACGGTCTCAATCTTCTGACCTCATGATCCGCCCACCTCAGCCTCCCAAAGTACTGGGATTACAGGCATGAGACACTGCGCCCGGCCCAAGCTGGAGTTTTATATGCAAACTCTGCTTTAGTGCAAAAGATTCCTTAGGGTCAGCACCCAAGATTATCACAAAAAAAAAAAAAAAAAAAAAAAAAAGCTAACTAATACTTCATTAACAGATATTTAAAAAATAAGAGTACTTATTTAGGCCAGCTAATTTTTCAAACACTTTATGACTCTTAGCTCATTTTATTCTCATAGACATCTATGAGGTATGATTCTTATTATCCCTGTTTTATAGATGAAGACACTGAAATAGCTATTGCAAAATCATAACTGAGAAAGAGATCTGACCTAACCAATCCCATCTTGCTTCTAACCTCCAAGCTGTCCTTGTTCATTCCTGGGTGTAGAGTGTAGAACTAAATTTGGGAGGAACTTACTTTATAGTGTAAAACAAAGATGTTAGCAGCCCTTTCTCAAAACAAACCTCCTTCTTGCCTGGGGACTAGACTGCTTTTGTAAGACTAACAAATTAGCCACAAGATTAGAAGTCATGGTTTAGGAGTCATGCAGCTGGAAGCTACAGGATCTGATCCTCCCTAAATTGCTCCTAAGATCAGTGCTTGAGATTTTGCAGACCCTGCACTTGAGGGATCAGCTGGCACCCAGTTCATTGAAACACTCAGATCAATAAACTGGCTCATCTGATCTTGTGGCCCCCACCCAGGAACACACTCAGTGAGATCTTGTGGCCCCCACCCAGGAACGGACTCAGTGAGAAAGGACAGCTCCAATTCCCTATGATTTTATCTCTAACC